AATGAATACGATGATGACCTTGTCGAAAATATGCTTAAGAAGACCGGATGTGTAGAACTTCATCATAAAGTTCAGGTAAGAAAATGGAATTTGTATGAATAGTAATATGGTGTGGGCTTATACGTTAAGTTTCGGTAAAGTCAGATTTGAATCCGTATACTAGGATGTGATATTTTTACAGAAGGAGCCGGGACGCTTTGTATGTATACTCGAAGTTCGATACTGATGTTTTTTTTTAAGATTCCGTATTTATTGTTTCGTGAATATCTGTTTAGAAGAAAAATGTTAGAAGTACTAGTCATTCTTTCTGTCCCTCTAAATGAGCCATCAGCGAAACCTTTAAAATAAACCATAACATACTTCTCCCTCCATCTTCAAGGCATCAGCCCTGAAGATGGAGACAGTATGTTTCTCCGAAACATTGGCGTGTACTTTCGAATCTACACGGCTGCAAAAACCCAGAAGAGCATCTTCCTCACTGTCATAAACTGGAGCTTGTATGGAAATAAAAATTTAATGTATTTATTTTCTTGCAGGAATGTGTATTTGAACATCAAGACTGGAGAAAGTGTCAAGATGTTCTAAAGGAGTTTCGCATTTGCATTGAGCACTACAATAAGATAAAGGATCAAATAATGATGAATTAATTTGGAATACAGTTCTGTTGTTACAATGAGTTCTGAAAGACACTTAGACTACCAGACTCTAGTAACTGGTTTAGTTATTGGTTTTTCCTCTGCTTGGATTTTGAAACGTAATATCATTAATACAATGTCGCTTGTTAAAAGTGTAGCCCATGTTACACAATGTAATATGAAATTAGTGTTTGTTGTGCGGACAGATCTAGGAATTGGGAAAGGCAAGTTAGCATCCCAGTGTTCTCATGCTGCAGTTAGGTGTTATCAAAATATGCTAAATACATCCCCAAAGACTCTGAGACTTTGGGAATTAAATGGGCAACCCAAGATTGTTCTGAAGGCTGAAGAAGATGGTGAGCAGTATCTACTTCAACTGCATGACAAAGCTAAAGCATTAGGGCTTGTAACTGCTATAATACGGGATTCAGGTAAGACACAGGTTGAGAGCGGCACTATTACTGTATTAGGAATTGGTCCAGGAGAATCTTTCATTGTAGACCAAATAACCAAGCATCTAAAATTGTTGTGATCAAGTTTCTGATTTATAAAAGACAATGTTGGACACTGTGTCCCAGAATACTTTTTCTTGCAAGTGGAATTATACTGTTCCTTTAATCCCACCTTAAAAATTCTTCAGTCTAGGAATGCATTCTAGGTTGCCTCTTAAAATATACTTTAAGGAAGTGTAACTCCATGGAGAGCCCACAATACCTAGTTTCCTTAAAATTCTTCCATCCCTACCAAAAGTGCAGCATGAATTTTTGTAAATAACTAATTTTACAGGTGAGCTTAAGTTCCTATTCCTGATGATGCATTTTTGTGCATTTGTTACTTTCACATTTAAGCTTTGGTGCCTGAAGATGATTTGGTAAAGTTGAGTAATTATTTTAGATTAAAAGTTGTGTGTGTGTGTGTATTCTTTCTTAACAGGCACTAGTACTTTTAGCCTGAGATTAAATAAATGTATGAGATCAGATGTAATTAAAAATGGTTTCTCTTGTTACCAAAAGTGTTAAAAAATGTATATGTTGTACCACAATAAAAGTATTTATATGAAGGAATTATAAAACCATTGTTTAGTCACTTGTGTGTTTAGTAGGTTTAAGATATGCAGCTGTGGTTGTAAGGTATTACTGTACAGGCTCCAGTAATGATTACTGATCTCATGAGAATTGTTACCACTATATGATGTTACAGTATGGATGCTTATACATACAGCATTGATCCCCTTTTATATCTTATTTTACTGTCCTAGGAAGGTGTTCTATTTCAGTGGCCTTGATATGTTGACTCAATTTCACTGTAATATATAATGAAATTTGAGGTTCTCATGGGGGCACGTATGACAATGGTTGTCTTCTGGGTTGTTGCACCAAGTATTGTGTTAGATGTTTCGGAGGTGAACCACTGGTTAACTTCTACCAGACTACATGGCACAACATCCTAAAAACAGTCATCTTCAGAAAATTATGTAGGTCCTCTAAATAAAAGTTTGTTTAAATATAATATATTTGTGGAATTATTAAGTGAGAATTTTGTTACATGAGAAGGAACCCTGTGATTTATGCAGTATGCCTAGTATTTATGTTATACTTATGAGTAGATAATGATATATTATACAGTGCATTTCTTCTAGTGTATTCATGACAGTATATAAAAAACTTCAAGAATATATATGGTCATCTTGATAAATAAATCAAACTAATTACAGAACAGAAATTACATTTAATTTGAAAATAAAAGGGAATATATGTGCCTTTAAAATCTAACATTTCTATCATATTTTTAAAATACCTTTCATAAATTGTTTACGCTTTAAGCACCTTGGTATTTCACATATAACTTGGCATAATTCTAGAATAAGGCATCATCTTTTACATGGAATTATCCCTTAGTCAGTCCCTGCCAAATTTGAGCTTTTCAGTATTAATTAACTGCACTATGCAAGGTTTCACTTTAACTAGCCAGAACCAGTAACTAACATTGTAAAGCATAAGGCATCTACTGAAGCAGAGCCAAAGACAAAGCTTGAATATTTGATACTGTAAATAAATTGCCCACAAAAGAGAACAAGTGTTAACACCAAAAATATTTCCTATAGCAATAGTTACTGAGGTTTCTTGACTAGCATCATCCTCAAAAGTGATGAAATCATACTGATCAGAATTTCTTCTTGTGAAAGCAGCTGCAGTGATTAGGTTTTACTTTGCTTGAACAAACAACTTTCAAAAGTTTTATACCTTCACACATCACTTGCTATAAACTGATATAAATATATTCAGTGATTATGAGTTTTCTTTCTACAATCATTATATGTTAATATTTGCTGTCACCATGCAGAGGTTACAAAGCTGAAGCAAGGATCCTGTCTGAGAATCACTGTTTTATAAATTAATAACATAATTTGCCACATAATAGTAACAGTGGTACAAAACAAAGGATACAAAAACAGTTTGAAACTTAGAAACAATAAACACAATTTACCCCCATCCCACTAATTCAGGCTATCCATCTGTGTTAATGCTTCTGCAAAACTGTTTTAATCTCAGGGGTACTGTAAAGTAAGAGAAGTGATTGACACAGTTCCATCCTGTCATGAAGAAGAAAGAACGGATTCTGCCACAGATGGTTATGCAAGACTCTTATTCATGGCCACAAGAAATGGAAGAAGGTTCTTTCCATAGGTATGATGCATACTTCCTCTCTTGTGGTCCTGATATTGGCTGTTTCCCACTCTCACTCCTATTAACCTGAATGTGGCTCCATCTCCCCTCTCCCTCCAGTGATCCTGATTAGCCAATATTCCTGTTCCCTGTTACAGTCCTCTATTTACTACTATATAACCTACCAACATCCTAGCTCTTCTCACATCAACTCTGAAAATGGAGGCAGAATGCTCTTTGAAACATTGGTATATACCTGCAATACTGTGAAACAGTAACCAAGAAGACCCCAATCTAAACTTATACCACCATAAAAATCTCAAAATTACAACCAAGGAACACTATAACAACACTGCCATTACTTAACATTAAATCAGGAACACTGAAAAGTTCACCAAGAACAGTCATAATGAGAAATTTTTATCCAAATATCCTTAATTAATCACTAGTTCTATAAACCAGCTACAAGGAATTACTTTCTACAAAATGAGATTATACTTATGCCGCCTGTTATAGGACAATACTGTTCTACACTGAAAAATGTAATCAGAACATTTTTTTTAACTTTGAAGGATGATTTAATAGCAATAGTAGCCAGCATATATCTGGACTCTTCACAAATATAAATACCAGTTTGCAAGCAAGTATAAAATGTATTTCTCTTTAATTCTTGAGATGCAAGTCATCTAAATGATATTTAAAAACATGATTCCTACCCCAAAGACACCAAAATATTGCACATCTACTGTCAAAATAAAATGTTTTGAAAAATAACCACTTTATTCTGGAAACAAAATGAAAAACTACAAGTGACCAAAATACAGGTTACTGGTTGTTAGCTGTACTTGGTTACAGGAGTTTTGGTAAAGGCTGATACAACTTTATTAACCGAATAGGCTACTTTCCCACTTCAATTTTCACTGCTTGCTTGTGTAAAACACTAAGAGATCTAGAATACAGCACAAATAGTGGTACTTTCCTCACATTCACAATGTGGAAAAGCTAATGAAAAGATTATACAACCAGTGAATTTTTTAAAATTAATGGCTGGTATATGTAATCTCATTAAAGTTAACAGTTTTTATTCCTTTATGTAATGACACCCACCAATCAGTTTAAAAGCAACTAATCAAAGAATTCTTTCTAAACAAAACATACAAATTAAAAATTATTCAATAAAAACAACGTTCCTTAACCAAATTTGACAAACAAATTTCTTAGACTGTTAGTACAGCTGTTACTGTAAAGTTACATATACATTTTCTACCTAGTATACATAATTCTTGTGAATTACTGTACAAAGTAAAGGAATAATAAACAGTGAAACACAATACACTTGTTGAAATGTTATCCTGATTGGTACTTCCATTTACCTAATATGAACTGTAATGAAGTATTACTGATCAATTACTTTTATTTTACTCCAACTCATTCTGGAGATTTTGACTTCTAAATTGTTTTTCTTATGCCACACTTTAGTACATTTTAATTCCATATATGAAAATGGCTAACAGTATGATCCAGTGAAAGGCTTCCTTGTGGTAGTAATGAGCCATTAAATATCAGCTGCTCACGAAAGATCTTATGTAAATTCTAGGCTCAACTTTTGTGTCAGATGTATAACTGCATGTCCTTGACTTATGACATAATCATGACAATGCTCAGAACAGGAAGTTAGTGAAAAAGACGTTCTACTTACAAGATCACATATCACTGGCATAAACTGTTATTTGAACAAACCACTGCAAAAAAAACGTGTAGTTTTGCACAGCAAAATCTCCAAAATTAATGTCCTTCAATCTCTCTGATGATGAAGGTAGGAAGGACCTCTGAAACGTTGGTAAACTTCTTCCAGACTACACAGCACAACCCAGAAGACAGCCATCTTCAAACATCTTGTCTCTGCCCACTCTCAGTTAGATGGAAAGTGGATAAATGTGCAACTTGCACATCCTTGCAATGCTTGTTGTTTCACCCACCATCATTTAATTGGCTAAAGAGCATCCTACTCTGATGGCTCATAATTCACAATTGCATGATTTGTTGCTTTACTTGTTAACGGCAAAACTAACAAAGGTGGAATCATAACACAGAAATCTGCATTGATCTTGACTGCTAATTTCTGCCTGAATTTAATATTAACATGATACAACCAGCACTACACAATTTTATATTCAACCACCATACATAGTTTCAATGCAGAATAAAACAAAAATAAGTATTACTCTATATACTTCAATAATAACAAACTATTACCTACCAAATATTGCACTATATTACATTTATCACCATCATACAACACTAAGCAGTCTTATTAATGCAAAAATGTGCAAAGATACATGAAAACAAAACAACACACATAACTGAAAAGTACAGAGTTGTGTAAAAAATACCCATGTTCAATTACACATGCTTTCTCTAACACATGTAATATTCACAAAGTGCCAACTCATGATCTCATAACTATCACATTTAATTTATAAATGATCTATGCATTGTCCATGTATGATTCATACAAACACAATACAGCATATAAACCAGTTTCAACTCCAAGAATTTCATATCCTTACAGTATTATTATGTGCATATTACATTTATTATATAAATACATGCACACCAGTATTGCATAATGAATGATCACATGTACATTTTTTATTAATAGATTTATCACTTTGGAGTATTCTTTTTATTCTGATATTCTTTATCCTGTGAGTTAGTAGTAACTTATGGCTCTTGGGACTGTGAAGCTGAAAGGCTCTGCTTTACCAAACATCTCCTGTAACTCTGTCAAAAAACTGAACAGTTTGAAATCTTTCATACAAATGGAGCAGTGAGATTTATCTTTATTTAGGCCATTTGTATTTAATTATGAACCTTACCTATTGAAAATGTTGTAAACACAAGAAATTTGTCACTGTCCATTAAGAAGATTGAAGTAAATAATTTACAATTTAATCAAATATTTTAGAGAACACATCTTGCATTAGATTAATGATACTAACATAAACATTATGCATAGATTCTTAAATATTTGCCAACCTGTAAAATAAATAAATTTTAGGTTTGGATCAATAAAGTTGCATTTAAAGACAAAAGGCCCACCTTTTATGACAGGATACTTAATATACAGGTATTGTATAGGTCTGCTATATCTTTGCATATCACATTACTTGCCATAAGAATCCTTGAACTGGACCAATGTTATCAATAGGTTACAAACTACCATTATCTCACAAATATTACAATAAAAACATCATAAACCTGTTACAAGTTGCTCATGTGAATGAGCTCTATTTAAAACAGATTCAAAGATTTTCTTCACTATAAGTAGTTGTAGCTGGCATACTCAATTGAAACATGAGCAGGTTTAGAAACTCTAAATAACAAATAATTCTCCTGCAAAACATTTGTGCTTGAACTTAACATTGCTGTTTTTCTCTCTCCATAACATTAATTGAAAGTGCAATGGCTTGCTGTTGTAATCATGGACTTCAACCAACTGCCTCAGACTGATTTACAGAAAATTATGGTACTTGTTATGATTTGCATTGATTGAAGTCTATGAGGTCCTGAATATACAATACATGAAATTATGGTACCCCTAGCCTCCAATTAAATACATTTCCATGGTGGCCAACATCTATTATCGGCACATTACCAAAGACCACAAGGTTCTGTAAGTGGGTGGTGTTACATCCACAACCTACAGTTAACAGAATGTTACTGTATCCCACGGAATTCTATCTTTTCACAGCCAGTCATCAGTAGTGATTCTAAAATCTAGGAGAAATGAAAATGGCTACTGGTCTTGAAATAATGAAGTTATATTCAACATTTAAAGACTCAAATATTTACAGTATAATTGAAGTTTCTTCATTGAGATGAGATGATAATAATATAAGAAAGAAAGCTTAAAAATTCTTAATATGCCTGAGGGACATGGATATGATAAGACAACAAAAATACAGTGGTTAGTGGGAGCTGTTAACTGGGAGCAGACAGCATCAGAAAACAACACATGAAGAGAGGCTATGGTAGCAAAGGCTCAAACTGAAGAGCAATTTCAAGAGGAAACCTAATACTGAACTGAGCAGTTTCTGTGTAGGATACTCCCAGTGGTGAAGAAGAGGTGATAAATCAAAAGGTAAGAAAATAATTTAATTTGCTCCCCATTATTAGCAAATGGTAGATTATACAATACAATGTGGAAAGTCATTCATGGCCAAAAACTGTATTTTTACACCAATTATTTTATTTCCTTCATTTGTAATAACCATATAAATATGAATATGTTATTAAGATAATTCACTTGGGAAATTAATTAATTGCACATACAGATTTCAAGTATTGAAATTATTTGGTTTGAGAAAAAATGTTGGATACAAACAAAACCATACAAGATAGGAAGAAATAGCTAAACTTATACAAATGACTTTTATTGGATAGGCTGTATCAAGAATAGCACAAAATTTTCTTCCAATTCATCCTTCATGGTGAATTCTTGAAAAGGCGAGAATTTTTGTATTTCTAAGTACCTACTCAAAGAGAACAATCAACTTTTGCATGTCAAATAACAATGACTCAGCATTTGTTCATCAGCACAGCCTGCCCTAATACAGGTAAACATTACAAAACAACATTGCACCACATCACATGCTTGTTAGACATGAACACAGGGAAGGCAACACAAATTAATAAAATTTATGTGCTTATTTCATAAAAAAGAAATAAACTAGAATTAACTGGAATTAACCAAAAGTGTTCAATGAATCAACTTCATAATGAAGTGCAGCTTATTAACTGGTACAGTCCTCATACACTTCTTAAAATATTGTGACCAAAAGCTTGTACATGAGAATGATTCAAATTAATGTTTAACCTAACCTCTCATATCTCTTCTAAGAATAATGTGACCACAATTTTATGTGTGATAATTATACAAATTAATATTTAAACTGTACATTCCAGTTCATCTCAACTAATAAACAAGATCTGTATCAAGAATGTGTGAACAACAAATGTTCTGTCCTGCTGTGTTTTGCCTCTTCTGATATTTACATGAAATTTCTTTGAACAAATGCAGTAGTAACAGACAATGTACTTAATTCAATCTTAATACTAAACCAATGTGCTATTGATGAATTCAAAGCCCAGTATTAATAATGTTTCATAATGGAAACATGAACTACCTTGAACAGAAGGGAAGTAGAAAACTCACAATGTTTTATAACAGAAGTAACTTTTCACACATTCCACCTTTACAACTGATGACAAATATGGAACAACTATTACAGCAATGACAAATTAAACCAATGATACAGGACAGTCTGAGCACTAATATAATGAAGACCCAAGAGAAACTTATTTAAAATAAAGAGCAGAATCTTTAGCCTATGCACAAGGGTTTGTAATTTCCTCTTTGATGAAAAATAAAGACATTAAAACTTTTCAATTCCATTTGTTTCATTTTCTATGTTTGTTTTGCTAATGAGGCTCCAACATTTTAACTGAAAATGGACTATGAACATATTAAGCACAGCCTTTGATTAATACTGGACCACAGAAATTCCCATACTCATGTCAGTCTGTAATGGAGTGAAAAATCTGTCTCCATCAATATCTCTGTTTCATAATACTGCGCATTTCACTGACATTCATAGTTGTAAGCAGCTAGCATAGGCTATCTGATGTAGTATTTTTTCTTTAAAAATACCACTTCTGATAGTTCCCTTGTTTACCTTTCTAAAATCATCATATGTTTAAATGGTTCAAAAATGAAGGTGACAGTGGTTTTGGTCAGGATACCAAAATGACCTTCACAGCACATTTTACATTCTTGGCACATCATTTGGCAGAATTTTCAGAGTTCACTTTTTTGTTCAGTAAAGAGTGGTCTTATGCTCTTGCAAATTGTTCTCTGCAAATAAAATATTTAAATAACTGACTTGCTTCAACCAATAATTATGTACAGTGTGTCCATAAAGTCCCTTCGGGGTTTTGAAAAATTGTGGCTCGCAAACAAATTGAGCTAGCCACAAGCGGTTTGCGGCAGATTACAGTGAAACTCTGGAAGTTTTTTACTGACCTCAATAGACCTCGATGTGGGCTCCCTTGGTAGCACAGAGAACGTCCAGATGATATTCGAGCTCTTGCCATGTTCTGTGGAGCACGTCCGCTGGAATAGCCGAGATCGCATTCCTGATACGGGTCTTCAGGTCATCAAGTCCGTTAATTGGTGTTTGGAACACACTGCTCTTGACATAACCCCACAGAAAAAAATCCAGTGGTGTTATGTCTGGTGAACGTGGAGGACAAGGCATTGGACCGTCTCTGCCAATCCATCTTACTGGAAACATGAACACCTACCTGGACATGCTGGAACTGTACGCAGTACCACAAATTAAGCACTTACAGCCACACATCATTCTGCAACAAGATGGTGCTCCACCTCATTGGGGTCTGCAGGTACGCGCATACCTAGACAGGACATTTCCAGGACTTGATGACCTGTATCAGGAATGCGATCTCGGCTATTCCAGTGGACTTTGTGGACATACTGTATATAATACATACATGATACATTGTGTTTCTCTTTCTACATGCAAATAAAAGCACTGAAAAATAGCAAAAAAAAGTACACTGAAGACCCAAAACAAAAAAATACAAGCCTCACACATCTTTTTCAATTGGACACATACTATGTACTTTGGATATCACACAATCTGAAAATCCTCATCAAGAAGGAATTAGAATTTTATTCTGAAATGAATGTAATAAATCACAGAGTAAAATTAAAAATTAGTTGTTCATAATATGTGTAATATATAATGGCATTCTGTAATGAATTTGAAATCAGAAGCAAAGTATCCTAAAATAAGATTTCTTTTGTACACTGATACTGATGATGCAAAATATTTTATAAAGCAATCCATAATTATAGCACCAAGCTGTGCACAAATCTTACTTAAATACTAGATAAAAATTTGTGATTTCAGCAATACATTGTGCATAAGAATGTAGGGAATCTGTAAACTGAAGGTAAATAGTATGACAGCTATATTCATGTTTAAAGGCATGAATTTGTTATTTTAATTCATGAAATTAAATTGTAAGACACAGTATTGCTTATGGAAACTGAACAGTTGTAACAAACATTAAAATAAATGCCCAGCATCTTCATGGAATGATTTATCTGTTTTCTTCTTAATGTCTACATATATATCACAGAGGAAGAACATATGAGGGAAACCCTCAATAACTTTCATTTACTTTTTCCTTTACAATGAATATTTAATATAATGGATGACAAAGTGTTTCCTTTAACTACAAAACTGATATCTACTGATATGTGCCAAGTATAATCACTTCCATGTATCAAATTGTTATTTTAAATATGATAGAATAACTAAGTTGCATAATAGGACATTGTTCAATAGTAGGCATTTACAGATCAGGAAACTTGCTTGGTTTGGAGAAAGAGTGGGTATGTCAACCAATATCTTTAATATAAATGGTATGATACAAAATAAATGAAAAGTATCCCAATATTAACATGAAAAATCCACACTGATATACTGTTTCAGTTTAATTTCTTGTTTTCCCTTTAAACTTAAATATAAATGAGAAGTTTCAGAGGTCGTGTTGCCGATGAATCGCCCTGATGACGGAGGCAGTATGACCTCTGAAACGTTGGTGGAAATCTACCAGAACACATGGCGCAATAACCCAGAAGACAGCAAACTTTAGAGACGTTTATCTGTTCTTGTCTGATATATATGCACACTTATTTACATTCTATAATAACTCTTTGTTATGCCATTTACATGTAGTGTCTTCTGATGCCAATACAACCAAGAAACCCCTCAAATATTGCAACTCATATGTCAGCTTCTGTAGAATCAGCTCAAGTATATTGTGTTAAAGTGCAACTGTTCTACACACTTTCATAATCTGATTTTTTGGTCAGGACCTTGATAACAGATGTTTAAAAATGTATAAAAGTTTATGCATCAAGAACTTACTACACAATAATTTCAAAGCAAAGTGTGGGACAACTTTGGTTTTGAGGTATAGTTAATACATGGAGACATTTCAAAAAGTACAGTATGTGGTATATTTTGGAGACATCTTTTTTATCTGACTGAATATCAATATTACAGAAGTGACATCAATATCCAAAATTATATTGATTTAAATACCTATAATATGGTAAAGCTACCATACTGGAGGACAAAAAATTTGGAGTCCAATTCAAAATCACTGTTTAGCATAAAGAATTTGTTTTTATTTTTCAAAATGTTAAATATTCTCCCTAAGCATTCATTTATGTCAGTGTTCTTATAGCTTTAGTCATACTGCTAATTCAGTATTTTTCATAATAGTCTAATATTAAGGCTCATGCTAGAGGCCATGTATCCTTTTTATTTCAGACATTCATACATACCTCATGAAAAGTATTGAAAACAATTTAATTTTTATTACATACAAAAATGTGTGGGAGGCAGTTAAACATAACTGCTCGACATGTTCGTGAAATGATAATGGTTCATAAATGAAACAATGTATTTTCCTACATAAAATATGAGTTAATCTCACTTGTGGAAGGATGTCAGTCTCTTAAGTGATGAGAATTTCTAACAAGTGTTGATTTAACAATACTATATATGTATTCAGATTGCACTGTAACATATCCATGTATGTAACAGAATAAACCTTTTTTGAACTCTACTTTCTTTGACAAATTGTTTATCATGAAAATGTGGCACAAAAAATTCATGAGACATGAGCTGATTCACGTGATTACTTTCGTAAGGTCTGGTGGTTCCGAGTTAACACTGTGGTGGTGATTGAGTTGATGATGATGATGATGATGGTGATTATTCAGTGCTATGTAGTTGTTAACTACATGTGGAGCCTCATTGAATTCATCTAATTCATCACTGAGGTCCATGTCTTCTGCCAACAAGAAGTACTGTTCACTTCTTGTAGGCCACAGGAGATGAGTCATGACACAGTAAGCCAAGCAGTCTGCAGAGTACGTTATTCCTGTAATTCAAAGTGTAACAGCTCATTAACTGCATTCCACTTCTCCCAGTTGCCTCATTTGACATTTTCTGGACCTTCTTAACTTCAAACATGCTGATAAGTACACTCTAGATCAGAATTTCTCAACCTATGGTAAGCGTACCACTGATGGTACACAAGCCAATGTTGAGTGATACACGAACTAAGTAAGAAAATCAAAAGATAATATTAACATAAATAAGCTTTCCCTGAACACATTTGGCTAGTGGTACATTTAGTGCATTAAATTAGAATCAGTGGTGCGCCAGAAAAAAAGGGTGAGAACCCCTGCTCTAGATCATTCTAGAATTCTTATTTGTTGTACAGGATCTCAATCAAAATTCACGTAATTAGAAATAGGCATAAAAATAAGAATGAGTTTCAGCAAGAAATTAAGTGCATAGAACTCATGAAATACAGGCTTTGATTTTCAACTCAGAATGCTCAAACTGTTGACTTACCAAGCAGCAATTTGAACCTCCAGAGAGCTGATACTTGTAACGCAATAAGTGCTATGATAGGCAGGTAGATGAACCAGACCAGTGCTGATGCACCAAAGTGCAGGAAGAAGTTCAGCTTCTGAGTGTTATGTTCATACATCATGGTATTCCTCAGCTCAAACAGGAACCAAATCATGATCATTGTTCGGAAACAAATGATCAGCCAACCAGGCCATGTCTGGTACTCATCTATATCTTCGATTATATCCACTTCTGTCTGAAAAGGCAACATAAAGACAGTATGTTACTTCCACACAATAATAAAATAGAATGAATTGGAAGTGAACTGAAGTGAATTAGAGGGAAGACAGAAGAATCAAACAAAGCTGTTTGGTCCTGTCATGTAAATGCAAAATAACAGAATGTGAAGGGAACCTTTGAACATGGAAATGAGGTTATAACAAACTGGAAGACAAATATAAGAGGAAAGGTTGTGACATAAAAATTGAACATTTCAAAAGACTATCAGTAAAAGCAGAAAATTCCCATAGATGTGATGGTGTTGGCAGTGGTGTTACTCTCTGAGAACAAAGCTCAAAAGAAAGAAAAATGTAAGTTTAATTAGCAGAAGAGGCAGGAACTTGTTTCTTTACCACCACATCTAGGCCAAATTCCATGGCCCTCCCATACAAGTGATCAAAGCATTAACAGTGATCATTCGTCTCTATAAGTAGCGCTGAGATTAAAAATATGTGGAGCTTTATCTCCTCTCCATTCCCTTTATATGAGCCAATGGCACGGTGCGTGCACAACAACTCCCTTTTTTTTCTTTTTATTTGTATATTTTAAAGGTATAAAAGGTCAGTATAATGAGTAGGCCACAGGTTAGATGGCATTGGTTTGATTCCCTGAAAGGGCAGAGATTTATCTCTTTGCCAACACATCAAGCTACTGTCAAATACTGATGACATTAACAAAATGTGGTTTCTAATATCAGGGATATGTTTTTGATCACATATATTGACATAATAGGCACATCATACAAAATATACATGGACTGCACAAAACAAATCAGAGTGCCACATGCAGTACATGGGTTGAGAACCCCTGCTATAAATCTCAAAAACAAGCATCATACTAGGGCCAACAGAAGAACTGACTGTGTACTGCTCAGTTTAAATTGACAGTATGACCATTCATTTCCCACAGACGTGTTCTAACAAATTTAATAAAACAAGATCCTTCTTGAGAAGCTGTTAATCACTAAGTTGGCCAAGAAATTCCCTGCCTTTTATGGAACCAAAAGTTTCATTACCACATTCCAAACAGCCCAATACTAGATCCTATTCTGAGCTCTATGAATAAAATCTACAACCTATTTCTTTAAGATCCATTTTCATATTATCTTTTCACCAATGTCTAGGTCTTCCAGATGGTCTGTTCTTTGAGAAGTTCCATGCTTACCATATTCCATACATAGAGCAGGATGTGTACCACCCCATACAGGAACCAAATAGTGAACACTAAAGGTTTCCATGTAAATTCCAATCTTGTAACAGCCCAGCCTTTGGCCAGAAGCAGAAGCAGCAACATGAATGTTGTCTGAAAAGAAAGAATACATATTCTTGAGGAACAAATGTATCAAATTATAAAAGTTAAATAAGAAACAATACAGTACCACCACAAAAGAAGTTTTGTCATTGTTTTCTGAGCAAAATTAAATTTGAACATGAAAATGAGCAGAGCATTAAAGAGAAAATGCAAGACAGTGATAATTGGGAGAGATCCCTACAAACTAAACCCTAAGTTAAGGAAAAATCTTAAAAAGAAAAGCATTAAGTGGTGGTTACACTGTAATGTCAAATACACATTAAATAATTATTATACTTTATCTAAATCTCTATACATGAAAATATAAAGGATCCAATAATGCTCTTTCTAACAAAAGATTTTCAAAAGTAAAAAGATAGTTGTAGCAACATATATAAAGGTAGCTACCTACATGCCAGACTAAACTGAATGAATATACTGAAAAATAGATTAAAGTCATAAGATAGAACAGTATTGCCATAAAAGACTGTCATCTTCCTATGAAGAGAAAACAACACACCATACTTTAAAAAAAAGTAGTGACAAATGTGCTTACATTTACTGATGATAACATTATGAAGTGACAGGTTATTGATGTTGGAGAAATATATTGCCTGAATCTTCAACCCTGAAGACAGCGGCAGTATATTTCTCCAAAATGGTGTTTATCAGTTACTTTGCCACAATTCCACAGAAATTACAAGTCTCTCTTGCCCACAATACACACACACACCATATCTCTACAACAATGGTAAATAAGACTGAAAAACATGGTATTACCACTCACAATAAATAACTTATGACCCACAAACCACAGTGAAAGCACCAAGGTTTGAATACAAAGGATTCCTTTTTATCTCAGGCTTGAATAAATCTACACTGTTATTAAGGCTAAGTAAATGCTTAGTATAAATCAAAACAAATGCATGTAACTCAAGGACAAACATCATAATTGTTACCCTCTACTAAACAGTTTTATATTTACAAATTATAACACACAGACATGGATATGAGGAACACTAAACTTCCCAGTGATACCAGCCAATTTAGTGGGTTAAAGAAACACACACACAGATATTAAGCAAATCATAATTCAATAACTAATTGACATATCAAAGACTGAAAATCTAGTGTATTTAAGAAGAGTTCAGGTGTTTAGTGGTAGTGTGATTTCATATAATAAACCTGAATCCTTGTGATCTGCCAGTTTTTTAATAACTCAGTATTTCTTATAAACATACTTGACTCTGTATTTACTTTTCACTAATCCTAAACCATATAGTGGCAAAATATTCCATGGTGTCTGAAACCCCTTTAGTTCTGTCTGAACCATTTGCACATACAAAATACTAAAGACAATGAACATCAAAATGTAGCACTATGAATCCCAATATCAATGAATATGGCACTGCCTATGTTGTGGGTTATTTTGTGAATATATTAAGATTATAGCAGTAAGTATATAAGGCATTTTTAAAGTCATGTTTTTGCTCAGTATGAAGAAGTACTCTTCTATACTGAGGATACTGCGAATGACTTTGTCGTTCTGTGTCTTACCCGAGAAAGTATGTCTAAGATGTCACCAGCAACAGCTAGTTGATGAATGCCAGTTCCATCAAAAGAAAATTTAAGGACATGCAGCAGGATAAGGCAAAGAGCTAGGAACTCCAGAATGAGACTGGCAGTGAAGAGTCGTGTCACTGGATGGTGCTGGCGCATAGCAGCATACACTTGAAGTGGCACCAGCACAAGGTAGCACAGAAAGAACACAAGATAAAGTTCCACTGTGTCCTGCAGAGAAAATAGTGCATTAATTGGACTACAGTTCTTCACATTGTATACGACTCACATAAGATGTACAAAAATTACTTAATCTTATTTTTGTCTATTATTCAGTACTGAATATGATAAGAGGATTAATCATATAAGTACAGTGGAAAGGATGGATTTTTCAATTTTCAGTTTGTTTTCTTCAGTGTTAGAGCACTGAATAAGAAAATTATGATCATTAATTGGGAAGGATGTAGAAGGAAGCAGTGAAGACTATTTACAATACCATCCCAACATTTGCTTTGAGGGATCACAGAAAATAACATAAAAACTCAGTTGTATGGATTGGGTTAATAAGACCATAAAATGCCAGATATGAAGCTGAAGTGCTAACCATATGACCATACCATTATATCACATAAGTTGAGCATATGCTAAATGTAACACAATAGAATAGAATAGTGATTTGATAATAATCCATATTAATTGCACCTGTCTGTCAAAAGAAAACTGGTACACCAAGGGATTAAAGCTGCTGACATTTGGACTTCCATTGACAAGCCAGATATCATACTCCAGCTCCAAATCCTGATCTATATGATGCCACTTGCATGTAGTCAGGTTCCTGTAGCATGCAACCAAGCTTATGTACCAGAACCTTTAACAAAACAAAAATAAAATTTAAATAGTACATTCATACATATTTCTCCAGTTTGATAACACTATACATAAAGTTCCTTTAGCCAAATGGAAACCTGTAAGTTGTGGTAAAGCTGGTGAAATAACAACAGCTGAACTGACAAAATTAAATGCATCTTACACTATATTTTCCTGAGAATGTCAATTTTATTTAAGTAAAATGTACCAAAATGAAGATGTGTTAAAATATATAATTATTTTGCTCTTACCTTGGTTGCATTAAATCTTCAATGACAAATGTAAATTGATGTCCTTTCACTACATTCCACGGTGCATCTTCATCCACGCAAACACTCCCTTTCGGACACGGGACTTTTCTCAAAAAATCTTCCCCCTGATCATAGCAACTAGAGTCATAAGCAATGGTGCTGATTTTTTTGAACATTTGAGTGCATGCCTTTTCTTTATTTGCAATAGTTCTATTTCCATAATATTCTAAAAAGTATCCTCTATCCAGCACAGCAAATGTCACATTTTGAGTAAAATTTGTTTTAGCAGTAATATTGCCAAAAATGTATCCTGACGTATCCTTCGAGTTGTGCACATCGGTCTTTTTAAATCCAAATTTTATCAGGAACTTAAAAAAATCTTTCGTATTCCAAGTACCTGTAACATGACTACAGTCCGCATGTTGTATAAGAACTGACAAAAGTACAAATACATAAAACATACAACCACCAGCACGCAAAAGAGAAACACACTTTGACACACACATTGCTCCCATCTGTTTCCTGGAGACCATGTTGTAAAAAAAAGTCAGGTTTCAAATAGCCCCGGTCAGACGATCATGCAAACACATCGTTGAGGAATCTATCATGGAGTTACTGTGTTAGAACGTTTACAAGTTGACTCTGTGAAACAATCTACTATGTTTCGACACAATCTGATACATACAGACTTATCTACTGATAATGAATTTTCAGCTACTCCATTAAACGACACACTATCTCATTCTAATCGGTGATCGCCATTTGGGATTACAATATACACAGAGGTACCCAAAGCAATATTATTCAATTCAATTTATTTATATAAGTGCTTGACAACAGCCAAAAAGGCCAATAACAGCCAAGCACTAACAACAATACAAACATTATAATACAAAAGCAAACAAACAATGAACTGAATATATAAATGCGTGTATATATATATATATATATATATATGTACAATATTAATTTATTGCAAAATAATAAGTAAATGAGCTAAATATTATGGACAAGTAAAATAATAATTAAATTAAAATCAGTTCAATTTTGGACAAACAACATACAAAATAAAATGTTATACTAAATAAACAATAAAAACAATTATTATTGTCTAAAAAGCTGAATGGCATCAGTAAGTAAAACACGATCTTTGTAAAGATGTCGATGCTCCTACAGACTGCATTGGCAGCAGAAACACATCTGGCAGAGGGACTGGCTTTGAAATTACGTTGTACAGTAAAGGTAGAGTAGTCTGATAGACATAGAGGGTATGCAGAGTCTAACTGAATCAAAAACAGATGAGCAACTAATTTTGCCTTTAAAACATTAACTAGGAAAAGCGCATCCAAAAGCCTCCTCCTTAAATGCAACGATAAAAATTTTAATCCTACTAATATATCATTATAATTATAGGCACAAACGCCACTAAAAAATGTAGTGTAACATAGAGCTACAAATTTCCTTTGAATCCCTTCCAGTTTAAAGGAGTCAGTATTAGTAATATTAATATATTTTGGGGAAAGTAGAATTAACGGTACACCGCTTGTTCCATGTAGACTGCAGCTGAAAACCGGACGAGATTACCGTTATGTAAAAGAGCATAAATTGTGTCCATTGTAATATAAATGGTTATTTTCCTTTAAAGACAAGGTTTTTCTTCCGTATGCACGTAGTCGCCTGCAGAGTAGAGTAGAGTTTATTTACATTCCATAGATCCTTCTTAGGACTCAACCAAAGGATGTAGAACATGTCATTTCATACAATATACATACACTTCAGAACTTTCAACACAAGTGGAAATCTGTGGTTAAACATCACAGAATGCCAAGAACTCATCAAAGAAAAGTTTTTATACTCTATGCCAGAAGCCAACATCAACATAACCTAACCAAAGAATACGGGTCCAGGTGTAGGAGAATGGGATACAATAAAATGTAACACAATCAAAATGTTACATTATTACCACACACACACACACATATATATATATATATATATCTTAATTCAAAGAATCTTGTTATGACACGATAAATCAAATTTCAATGTGATTAAACGTCACAAATTGCAACTCTTTAATTATGAAGCTAAAATGTAACAATCTAAACTGCCATTTGTATGGCTTATGTAACTTGCCTTCATGTACCTTTTATTACCAGTTTTGTGCAGTTTATTCCAGTCAATGTAAATTCCCATCCATGCATGTCATGGACTGGGCTATACATCTTTAAGAAATAATACATGGGAGTTCCATAAGACCAAATGCTTGGTCCTCTTCTTTTTCTTATATAAAAAACATTTTCTTTTCTGACAAAAGACCTGCAGGCAAGCAGTCTTCATTAATTACTGAATGACATATCTATGATCTCAAACAAATGTTTTATAGCTAGTAAACTGACTTTAAATTTTGACAGAACAAACTTCAAAATATTCACAACCAATAACAAATTCTTAATTATTTGAGTGGGCCTACATAATTATAATTTATATATATTCTATAGATCCCTCATAGTACAAGCCAAAGACCACTTAATCATGTACACCAGATAATACCAAAACTAATTTCAGCAAGTTATGCAACAAGACCTCTTTTCATTTCTTCCTACCATAAAACTCCAGAAGACAGTGTAGTGCACATATTTTCACTTAGTCATGTCATAATAATCTTCAGCTAACAGTAATAACAGTTTTCTTCTTGCAGAAGACAACAACCAGAATTATGACAGGTGATCAAGATGTGAGAAATGCAGAGATTTATTGTATATTTTGCATACTGTCACTTGCCTTTGATTACATGTTTACTTTAGTAACATTCATAGGAGGCAATTATAAAATTTTCCAGTTAAATTCAGAGGTTCATAAAATTAATACTTGGCATGAACAAGATCTACACAGACCAACTGTTAACCTTACAGTTTAACAAAAAGGTGTATATTATTCAGGAATTACATTGTATAACAAGCTCCCGATAAAAATTAAACATCTATTAAGCTAACAGAAGACAATTTAGATCAGCATTGAGAGAATTTATTTTATCACACATCTTCTATTTTGTTGATAAATTTGTAAATATTACATTTTTAATTTTAAATTCTCAATTATATACATAGTTTCAAATATTATTGGTGGAATAATTATAAGAAAGCCACAACAAAAGTGACAATACTATTTGTTCATAATTCATTGCTACTTTGATCTACAGTAATTTATTTCATATCACAAATATAAGAGAAATACCAGTGCGCTCAACACACTAATTTATTAGGTTTTCAATAAAACAGTATAAAAATTTAAATAAAGATCTATTGAATAATTAAAATTTCTAATCTTTATGAGTTTATATGAAAGCCTTTTAATCTTCTGAAACAACAGAATTCACAAAGTTTGCAGTATACAAGAAAGCACTGCTGACTTGCAGCTAAAAGTTCTGAAAGAAATATAAAAAGCCAAACAAGTTTGTAACTGTATGCATATCTCAAATGAATTTGTTTTTAACCAGTGGCAGCAACTATACAGTCATATTTCTCCTTAACTGCCACTTTACTGTCCAAGTTACCCTCTGGGATATAGACTTGACTTAAGAACAAAGAAGATCTGAAATGAACAGTTCATTGAAGTAAAATCAATCACAAAGAAGTTTTTCATTTTGTTCAAGCATCTGAAAACTTTTTACATATGAATCTCTAAAATTCAATATTAATCTGACATGCCCAGCAGTGTTCAAATGTTAGAATTTCTTTAAGGAACACAGCATTATAAGTACTTTGAACAAATGATTCATATACAACTGTTGTTAATGGAGGACTGCCATATGTCTGTACTGGCAGATTATATCTTTAATAATATTGACTTAACATGTCTTTAGCATGTAGAGTTCTAAAGTGTAGGTCATCTTTACAGTAGTCTTCACTTATGTTGTGGTTCACTTACCACCAAATTTGTACTCAAAGAAATTAATTTTATCCTACTTCAGAACTTACTCCCATATCATTCAAGTATATCTGAAAAATATTCTTCAACCATCAACATCATGTGACACAGCTTACATGTAATTCAGCTCGCTATGTGTTACACTAACTTACCACTAAACCATTAACCATGGAGCAAAACCTGGCCAGCAGCCATGTAATATAGGGTTTAAATTCCCTTTTCCAATACAAAAAAAGGTTAAATAACCCCATCTCCATTAATACAATTTCACTCATGTTATTTAAAATCAATATTTCACCTGAAGTCAAAAACTTACCACAAATACTATATACTATTGGTGAGAATCTCTGACCTTGATCAGTGGAAGTTTAGGTGACCATGAAAATGGCTTCATAGTAATAAAGAAATTATAAACAATCCAAAGCATTTCAGTTCAAATTACAAATTAAAAGCCACATGACTATGTAGTGATAACACCAACATTCCTGACTGGCTCAGGTCAGTTTACCAGTCTTCCTTTCAGGAATTACAGGTTCATATACTAAGTATGTGTGATCTACATCAAATCACAACTTTCTCATCTGGTGACATAGTTAGCTGTTTGTTAACATAAATCAATATACAAATTAAGAAGCTGGCTGTTTTCTGAGTTGCAGTGCCATGTAGTCTGGTAGAAGAGGCAGCAAGGACATCTGAAACATTGATAAGCTTCTACCAGACTACATGGTGCTACAACCTGGAAGACAACCATGTTTGTGCTCACCACCACAGTAACTTACATCCTACTAATAAACTGTTCAAAGCCAAGCAAACATTTCAACTTCATTCCTCTCGGTTGTGTTCATGGGCAACAAAACCAGTGAAAGTCTGAAAGCTTAACATATGTCAATACACCAGTTAAGCGGTAATGTAATATTTAAAACCAAGTCAAATTACATAAAATATTTACATATATTACAGAGTATTTGAAAATTCATGTAAGCTATGTAGTTTAAAAATATATTTCAGTAGAACTAAATCTGTTTACAGCATATCTGAAAACAATAAAATCACAACAGCTGCAATCAGAAATTCATTCCTACTTGCTCGCATTTTCTACAATCATCCCACACAGCTATGGCTTGTCAAAATTCCAGAGAAACAATATTGGCAAGATGAGGGATTCTCTTTTATTATATTCTGAATGGAATACACTACATTATTTAACCTTTTCCCTGCCTCACCACATTTATATCCAAATTAGGTCTTGCAGGGCATTTAAAAGAGGATTTATGACAATGCTTTAAATAATTCAGTTGAAACAAATTCAATTTCATACAAAACAATTATTTGTCTATCAATGTAAATGTTATCATAGTTTACATACTGTCCTATCGATGGAAAAGGATTCAGAAAACAATCCTGCTCTTTTGTTAAGTCACCACATAAGGAGAAGAACAGCTAAGCCTTGGTGCACTGATGTCATGCTGAGACCATAAAGAAAGTTAATTTTAGTCTTTTGTATAAAGAATCAGTTTATACTGTACACAGCCATCAAGCAACATAAAATCAGTGAATAAAACTGATTAAATATGTATAGTGAGCAAAATCAGTATATTTCAGAAGTAGGGGCACATCAGACAACATCTTAGACCTGCTAAGTACGGCTGTGACAACATTCAACTATAACCATACATTTCTACAGGTCCTTTGAGGTCATTAACCTTGCGACTGCACCACAAACCACATACAGCCCAGTCTCATAAATTTTCTTTTATTTAAACAATAATTTTTCTGTCATTTATTCCATTCTGAGAGTTCTTACACTAAATTAGTTCATTGCATATAAATGGGACACACTATTATAGAGTCATTATACACATGTTAGTTGGAAGTGTTAGTAAAAGAACAACATCTCTGCATACAAAAGTGCATAAACAATTTAATACTTTTTAACACTTGGAAAATTAAGATGGAATGGTAAGCTACTTACACTGAATTTAACACTTTAGCTTGGTTCGTGGAGGACAATATTTGGAAGGTTTATTTAAATTCTACCATAATGTCAAGATTCTTTGAACTCTGATTTGTTCAGCGTAGTTTGAAACTGTCCCCTTCTAAAAAATTTCAGTAACATGTTGTCACTCTTGTAAAATGGCTGATGATCAGTTTTATGGTTGCTTCCTTAACAATTTTTTTACAGAGATCAAGAGACTGAAATGATATTATGGGGATATACACAATTACAATTCCTCTGTAAGACTTTTTCCTCTTGGAAAATATAATAATAATGTACACATGGAAAACATGTTAAGATATCAGAAATGCCTGATTAAACGCTGAGGCTTAAATAGTAGCCTGAGTTTAAACTGTAGCTTATAACTACCACAAAAGCTCCAAATAATGGCTGGGACCCAAAGAGTACCCAAGCCTGTGTACATGCTGAGTATCCTACAGCAAGGCATGTAGCACTCTTACAAATCCAAAAATGATAATGCTTGTATTCTGCATAAAATGAGAAACATAAGATATCAACTGTGCAGAGCTATTACAAATGGATGGTCTTATGCAAAAATGAAGTAACTCTTTCACTCCATAGAGCAGAACCCATCTTCAGAAGCTAATAATCACTCAGGTGGTCAAGAAATTAATCACCTTTCATGGAACCTGAAAGTTCATTACCATGTTCATAAGAGCTCTTCACTGGTTCTTCTCCTGAGCCAGCTGAAGTCTGTCCACATCCTAACACTCATTTCCTTAACACCAATTTTAATATTATCCTCCCATATGATTACTTTTCCCAAATTGTCCATCCCTTTCAGGACTCAGCATGAATTTGTTCTCTGTCCTATGCATGCTGTATGATCCACCCCCTCATCCTCCTCAATTTGAATGCCTTAATATTTGGAGAAGCTCATCATGCAACTGTCTCCATCCTCCTGTTACTTCCTCTTAGGTTAAAGTATTCTCCTCAGCACCCTGTCAACAAACACCCTCAATCTATATTTTCTCTCAGGGTGAGAGACTATGTCAGACTGCAGCTAAACAGCAGACAAAACTGCACAAGTAGTTTTATAAAAATAATTGTTTATATGTTTAGATAGAGACTGGAAGATAGAAGATCCTGGACTATAGAGTATCAAGTTCTTTTCTAATTTAATCTCTTCTCAATTTCCTTCAGAATACAATTTTAATGTCACTGTTGTTCCCAAATATTTGAAGTTCACCACACTTTCAAACGATTTATTACCAGTCATCTTATGAATTTCTCATGCATTCTGTTGAAGAGACATGAATATATACTGTACTTTGTGTTCTCTGCTCTTACCCCTAGCCCAGATTCTTACTAAAACTAACAGGAAGTAATGTCCAGGAGTAAATATAAATTATACAAAATATTGGTTCAACAAATGATAAAATATAACTGTAAAACATGTAGATGGATGATCAAACATAACAAGAAATAAAAACTGCAAAAATGGGAAAATATGATTAGATAAATACATACTGAAGTACATACAAAACTTAAGGATAGTATAAAAAGATGATTTAAACACAATAAAAACAGGAGGTGAACGACAGTGTGGACTTAAAATAACACAAGATGAAGCATAACAAAAGACATGGCATGTGCAGAAAGGAGCATTAAGGTTCCTACAGAGATATGGGGAAAAATATATTATCAGTATCATATATGATAGAATTATTAATTACCCACAATCTTTATGGTTACAAAAATTGGCAAGACACGAAGTACAAATTATACACAACAGAGCTCTTTAATAAACAATAAAGTTCGGAAAGACTCAGCATAACATGGCTGCAGAGACTATATAACTTACATATAAACAAGGCCTGAAAATATGAGTCCTCTGAATATATTATAGAGGTTTTACTACAATTTCCTTCCAAAATTATGATTTAATATTCAGTCATTCAGCATAAGACCACCCATGCATTCATATACATCTTCCGTTGTATTACAGAATGACTAACTGCAAGCATTGACTGTTCACAGACTAAATTACTAACAAGTATCATAACAAAAAGTGTTTTATATAACACAATTATCGACTATAGAGGTGGCTGTAAAAAAATTCTGACAACCTCAAATGATACCTCAAATAAGCTATGACTACAAAACTGAAAAATAATCCTCAACCAATAATGTGTTCAATTTCTGGCATCACCTGTTATTGTAAAAAATACAACTTCCAAGAGTTTATCTCAAACTTAACATGTTCCTTCTGTACATAATACAATACTGTGACGTGGGAGTTTTCAACACTCATTCTACTCACTATTATATGATAATATGTCACAAGAATGTGCTGCATGTCACACAACTTCCCAGTCACCATCAACAGTCAAGTTGAGAAATCCACCTGACACTGCAGCTGGTTCACTCATCTTCACAGTATGCTGACTATGCTTAAGGAGCTGATGACTCTCATCCAAAGCCCACAAGCCATCACTCACAGATGCTAGAAAGAAAAGACACATGCAAATAAGGCCCTAAATCAGATATGAAGTAATCATAAGAACTAACTCCATGAAGAAGAGTCCTTTTTGAGAAGATGAGAGTCTCTTACCTGGACAGGAAATTCCCTGCCTACTAAGGTACCATGCTCATGTTTGTAACAGCATGCCACTGGACCCTGTCCTGAGCCAGATGAATAAGTCCAAACCTTCATATCCTATTACTTTAAGATTAATTTTAATCTTATTCTTACAATTACACCTACATCTAGGTCTCCCAAATGGTCTCATTCCTTTAGGTTTTTGCTCTACAGTTTTGTATATGTTGCTGTCTCTACATATGGTTACATGATCTGTTCATTTCATCTACCATGACTTGCTCACTTTAATATTTATAGAAAAGAAAGCTCTTGAAATTAGGTTAGGTGTTTATATTAAAATTCCTTATCTTGACATTATAACTCCTACTAAGTAAAATAAAGCAGCCCCACTATACACCATGTAGAAAATTTGCAGGAGACGAGTATAGGTTTTACTCAGTCTTAACTTTGGCACTAGGTGGGGGTGAGTGGTTAGCGTCACGCCCTGGCTGCATTTTACCTCTGGGAAAGGACCCCGGTCCCCAATGGGTAGGAGGCTGAGAGTGCTCCAGAACTAGTTTGGACACAGAGACTAGAGGAAAAATCCACTACCCCCATCGGGGATTGAACCCCAGTTATCCAGTCCATAATAGTCACTATACTTACAACTGCTACTGCATTTTAAAATTCTTATGTACTATGTGTGATATAGCTATGAGTACAAATTTATTTACAAAAGCTGTTCTGACTTTAAACAACCACACATCACTTCTGAATAAATCATTATGTTATTTTTCAAATTCAGATACTTGAGCATAATAGTGTGTTCCAATATAAAGCAGTCCAAATTATAAAGATAATCTACATATTTCATTAATTCATGACCATATGCATACTGTAAAATTATACTTATAGTACAAGGTTAAAATGAGAGCTACCACACTGAAGGCACACTCCAAATCATTATGAAATAGCCTTTGAACACTGTCATGTAGTATGCCGTGCACCTTTCTACATATAATAACTGCACTCACATGACCAAGTAACCCAATGGCCAACACAAGGAAAGTAACAGCTTTTTCCAACATGCAGGTTACTTTATACTGTGCTATATTGTATGTTAAGTTACCTGTCACTGCTTTAACTGAACCAGGTATCTTCTTCCAGTAATCACCAATGAAATTGGTATTAGTGATACCATATCGGCGATATACAATTCCTTCAGCAGACAATGCCCACACTCCTGTGTCACTAGAAAGAAATGGAACAATATTATATGTTTTAATTTGATCAAATTCCCAATTACAAGGTGCAATGTAGAATACAACAGGAAAATGCAGACATCCAATTGCCCTAGGCCCAAGACCAATAATGATGTAAAATGCATCCCATCATTTATCCCAACAGCAACACTGTACCTTGAATTAATTGTATTAGTCTGCTGGCTGAGATGTTCTGATAGTCACTAGTATTCAACAGACGATTTTAAAAAAGAGAGAGAGAAGAAGGGAGGGCTCATTTTTAAATTGTTCTAACTATGGTTTTTTCAGATGTTCTTTATGTTCTAATGCAGTGATGTGTAACTGGTGTTCCACAGCACATCGGTGTGCTGCGGAGGCCACAAATCTCACCTCATATTATAATTATAACCATAATGAGATTACAATTGTTAATCTTGTTTTCTGCTCTGTCTCAGATTTCATTTTATTTATTATGATCGGGCAGACTGACGACAGACAAAATCTACTAAACAGAATTGGAAAACAACACATCCATTTTACAGCAAAACACATGTACCTTCCCTTTACTTTTATTGCCACTCTATGTATTTTTCAGCAATCTACATGTACAAATATAAATACGTATCTTTCAGTTTAAATGTTTACACGTAGTTAATATATTTTGGATCAAACAGTAGGAAATATTATATTTTAATTTATTTCATATAATGAATATACTTAAAATAAATTACATAATAATAAAGATGGATAATTATAAACATCAAATAGAATATTTATCGGTTGGGGTCAATTTATAAGGTGTTGTCGTGGCCAATCAATGCCAAAAATCATCTACCTCCCTCCCACAATATGCAAAATGGGGTTGGTGTGCCACCACGACTATTCAACAATATTTAGTGTGCCACGAGTGAAGAAAGGTTGAGCAACACTGCTCTAATGTGAGCAGTGAGAATACTTTATGAGCACAACCATATCAGCCTCTTTCTGTCTGGAGGTCACATTGTTGGAACAAATTGTTGTACTACAATGGCATCTGAGGGTTACCACTGTCAGAACCCACTGTTGTGCAAGAATGGTAACCTTTGGATTACAAAGGGCCCATTGTTTTAAAATACTGTTGTGCAACAATAACCTGAGATATCAGTGCAACAAGAATCTAAGACACAACAATGACTTTGGATCACATCATCACCTGTGACACAACATAACCTCAGATCAAAATCCAATGATAAGCTACTTGATGACTCTAAAAGTGATACCGTTACATGATAAGTTAGAATTACAGACTCAGATTTTGTTCTGTTGGCACACAAGGTCTGCAATATGTGGAAGTGAAAGTTTCAGGTGTACCACACAACATGAAAAATCTAAGAACAGCCCTAGATAATGTGTGATCGGATTGTTGCGCTGTGTAGTCTGGTCGATGTTTACCAACGTTTCAGAGATCATACTGCCTCCATCATCAGGGTGATGCATCAGACTACACAGCGCAACAACCCAGAAGACAGGAATCTTCATACTCGCCGCTGTGAGAACCTCAAATCTTACACATTTTCATTTGTCCCAATGTTATGAATTTGCATAGGCAAATAGTTACGCCAACTGCGTCCTTTTCTTTTGGTCTTTATCTGTCATCTGTTGAAGGTTTTCGTAAGTCTTCTAAATTAAGGACGGGTCTGCGTTCGTCTTCTTCGGCTGCAGAAAGAGTCGCCTGCTTTGTTGGAATCGGGCAGAACGAGTTCTCGATCTGTGGACGAAATTTTCAGTACTCCAAAATAATGGCAGCAGTAATATGATACATTCGTCACAGACACCCCAAAAAATAAAGGACTTATTTTTTTCAGTTTTAAATGAAAAATGATATTTTCTTTGAAGATTTAAAATTATTCATTATAATTTCAAGTTATACGAATCGAATTTGTTTCGATTGTTCAAATTGGTTAAAATTTATCACAGTGTTTGGTGAATAACACTAGTTTGTCGTTACTTCTGAAATATCCAGATATCTACGTAGTTCTTATTCTTATATGGATGACGTTCCGTTAAGCTCCGACGTCTTAACGGAGTCTGAACGCCATTAAAACTGTCATCTGCTTCAACAAGTTTGCTCATCAGACACTTCAACTCCAGAAGTGTCTGCTTTTCGCTTTTGTGCATCTCGCTCGATTTTCTGAGTTAATTTCATAATTGTAAAGCATAATCTTGTATCTTTCTGACAAGTTGAAGGACGAAATGTGACAAATGATACTGTGGTGTCAACTGTTAGAAGCAAACATAAAATTAAATTGCCCGAAGACAGCCAAAGTTCCTAACAGGACTATAGGCGTAAGTGTTTTGTTTTCATGTTAGACCGAGTTAGATGAAACATCAGACTGGAATAGGGCTTTGGCAATATGGATGCTGTGGATAAAGTGAAAGCACTAGAGACGATGTAGGGGAGAAATCGAACTTCTAACCTCGGCCTTCGCCCTGCATAAGAATGTCTGAGCCCATCGCGAAAAGATCTTTCAGCAAGATACTAACATATTTCATATTTGAACTTGGTACGAAGCAGTAGATCAAATCTCACTTCAGGCAGTCAAAAAGATGAACTGTGTTATATTTAAGTAGAAGGTTCGTTGTCTTGTTCAATACGAGGTGCGATCGGAAAGTTTCAAGACTGTGTCAATAGCTGATTCTAAAGGAAGAACTCCACATGCGACGCATCCTGTCTGAGGACCAGAAGCAGAATCGACTTGACTTCTCGTTTGTCAGGAGCTCAAAGATCTTGCAAGAACCGACCCCACCTTCCTTTCTAAGCTCCGTGTGACTTCTTCCTCTTCCCAAAGATGAAAATTCAGCTAAAGGGAAGGAGATTTGAGACGATAGAAGAGATTTAGGCAGAATCGCAGATGGTGCTTGACAGGCTGACAAAGAAAGATTTACAGGGATGCTTCCAGGCTTTGCAGCGGCGCTGGGATCGTTGTGTTCACTCCCAGGGGAACTACTTCGAGGGTGATGGATGAATTTAATACCTGAGATAAGTGTACGGGTTTTTATACGTGCAGTCTGGAAACCTTTCGATCGCACCTCGTATAAAAGCTGTTTATAAGCAGAAAATGTTTTTGTATTATTAGGTGTTCTGATAAAACGACTCATCTACATTAATTATGTTCAAACATCATACAGCTGAACTAAAATAATATGATTTCCTTTGGCATGACATTCAGAAGGAAAAAAATGTGTAAGGTAAGTGGTTAATTCCAATGATGAAGTTCTTAAGGAAGACTCTTTACAAGAAGTGAAGGACTAATATTCTACAGATTCACAAAGATCTTTTGTTTTTTGTCAAAGGTGATAGGTGGGGAAAGCATGCTGGACAGACCTTTGGGATGGGAGCTCAGTACAAGATACATAAACTTACCTGATACTAATATCAACAGCCTCAATTCCAGATACAAAAACCCAGCCTGTTCCAAATTGAAAATCATTAAAGATGCCTTCTCTTACATATACATTCTTCTTATGATCCAGGGCCCATACCATGTATGTCTGTGGTCCCACAAAAACCTGCAAAAATTAACATTGATGAAACCTCTAAACAGCAAGATTCACTACATCCATAACTTTCAGGCTTTGATATAAAGTTATAATTTAAATTAATTTATATACCAGTCATAATAAACATGAATATTAAATTAAGTATTTCAGTACAGTTTATTTTAGGAATAACCTGAGAAAAGGCAGTCTCAAAATACCTTAAGTGTGTCATCTGTATTTTGCTAGTACTTCTATGTAAATCTAGTTCTTGAGAGACATTTCTATTCTGTCAATAAAAAGTCAAGCTGAACTTACAAAATAAATATTTATTCTTGATTCTATGTGACATTACATAAATTACATTTTCATCATAATTTCTTATGAACAGTAAATTTACAGGCACAATTAATAAAAGGAATTCTGTATGAATATTTTCTTTTCTACGTATGTTCATACCTTCATAAAAGTATTCTTTCGATGTGACATGTTCTGATCACAGCCATTCTTCTGTGTTAACTTGATGTCAACTGGTATCCAAACAGGAGAAAAAGTTGAAGATGCTATGGAGTGAGGAGGCCCAACAGCCATGTATACATTCCCCTGGTCATCACAAGCCCACACAACATCACACCCACAAGACACATGTGTTAAATGAGTTCCTTCTGGAAATACACAAACATTATACATATCCTGTTTATAAACTGCAAGAAAATCTTTGGGAATTAAGGATGGGCATGTCAAAGATGGGATTCCTGTTGAGTATAAAAGTTAAGATGTAAAATAAATGTTTACTGGGGAGACAAAGTCCATGTGGGAAGAATATATATAAAAGGGAAAATCATGTGGGACAACTGGAAACAATTATGGGAGGATAGAAAACAGACAAGACTTTGTCATAAGATGTGTGTGCGTGGTACATCAATGGACAACAATAATGATGAATAAAATGAGACATGGAGAATCTCTCCTGATTGGTAGTTCTTATTTAATTTGTATTAACATTCCAACCACTCTACCCTGGACTTCTCATCTAGTGTACAGTTCCATATAGCTTGCTGAATGGGAGAGTGCAACTGCTTCACACTGCTTTGCTGACCAAGTGCTGTCTCATAACTTTTTGTACTTTTCAATGGCAACTAGAAGTTTTGAAAATACACCTATTACTTCTACTAGCTTCAGAATGCTTGTCTGTCCATATATGAAATTTTGCATGGAGTAGGTTTGTTAAGACATACTAATTTTTGTAAGTCATGTTACATTAAGAAATACATGTTTTTACATGAATAAGGGCAAATTCTTTTCATGGTTAGCTTGGTTATTGTCGTTATCTTGGTTACTATGATTACCCTTGACGTCTTCAAAATTCGCAAATTCCTATGGCAGCCGCACAACCATGTGGAGGAAATTATACTGTGCTGCTTGGTCAGGACTATCGCATACATGATGAGGTGATAATAAATTAGTGTGGAGCAATGGTGGAAAGATAACTAACAGGGAAGATCTGAAGAACTCGGATAAAAACCTGCTCCAGTGCCACTATGACCATCATGAACCTTACATGAAGTCATCCAGGATTGAACACAGGTCTCCTTGGTGAGAAGTCAGCATCCAGCCACCTGAGCTATGGCACTGGTCCTACAGTACAATAATGCCAATCTGGAATGTGTCCTATCTGATGTGGGACATTTTATTCTGTAAGAAGCACATAAGATGTGGACTAGCAGAACTATTCACCATGCAATGATGTACTTGTCAGAAATTAAAGCAGTAATAGTGAATAACTGTTAACATTCCCATATAGGATCATAATTCAATAACATTTTTCTGTTAACCATCTTTATTACATCCATCAAGTAATTCTGAAAACGTTAATCCAGGACCTATCAGTTTCAACATTTCAATAGATTATTAAGCTTAGATATTCCTGGCTTTTTCAATAATCATGATTCTTTCTCTATACTATGTAGGTCATCATCAGCTTTCATGGGTAATCCTATCAGAGCTTATGCTTTCGATATTTATGAAATAGTGTTACACAAAATATTCTTCTGAAAACATACATAGATTTGACAATTCCTTTATTACCACAGAGGCAGTATGTAACCTGAAAACAATCTCATGAAATGTATTTCAGCTGAAATTCATCTTCTCTCATCTATCCTCCTTATGGATACTTCACTGTATTATGAAAATGAAATAAAATGCTGTTATGAACCTTAACACCAAATGGAATCTGTGTTCATTTGGACCTATGAGAAAGAAAGTAATGTAATCAGAGTGAATTTGTGCATTTGCTTGGATAGAAGGCAAATAAATTCATATTGTACTATGTAAACCGAAGAAGATGTTACTGACACAGGAAATGAGACAGTGAGCTACAAAGTACTGTAGCTGGGAAATAATGTTCATAGTATGGACAGTATATCATTTCTTATCTGGTACCCCTCTCAAGCTTCTGATCCCCTTGCCTTTTATTTCTAAGCAGTCTCAAGTGCAGAGAATCACCCTGACTACAGTAACAGGATGAAGAAGAAAATTACATTACAGTCATCAGATATTATTGGGAGAATTAAATGAATGAATTCGAGGTATGTGGGACATGTAGCATATACATGGAAGAGATGAGAAATGCATACAAAATTTCAGTTAGAAAACATGAAGGTATTAAACCATTCAGAAGATGTAGGTGTACATGGGAGAATAACATTAACATGGATCTTAAAAAATAGGGTGTGAGGGTGGCTCATGGGATGGTAGTGGCAGCAGGGCCGTCCTTCGGGTGCCACAAGCAGGACTGCTGCCCTGGGCCCAAGCCTCAGGAGGCTTGCAATCAACATTATGATGTATGAAATATTCCATACAGAGCAATAACTTGACTTCCAAAGAAATAAAAATTTAAGAAAGCATACTGAAGTATATTAATTTCATCATAATCCCAGAAGAGATAAGAATACAGTCTTTAATAAATATACAGCTTGGTACCACTAATATTAAACTTAAAGGTTAATGGCTTTAAATACTTTTCTGATACAACCTTAAGAAGGGACCCACATCCATCTAGGAACAACTATGAGTGGCAGTGTTACACAAAATATTCTTCTGAAAACATACATAGATTTGACAATTCCTTTATTACCACAGAGGCAGTATGTAACCTGAAAACAATCTCATGAAATGTATTTCAGCTGAAATTCATCTTCTCTCATCTATCCTCCTTATGGATACTTCACTGTATTATGAAAATGAAATAAAATGCTGTTATGAACCTTAACACCAAATGGAATCTGTGTTCATTTGGACCTATGAGAAAGAAAGTAATGTAATCAGAGTGAATTTGTGCATTTGCTTGGATAGAAGGCAAATAAATTCATATTGTACTATGTAAACCGAAGAAGATGTTACTGACACAGGAAATGAGACAGTGAGCTACAAAGTACTGTAGCTGGGAAATAATGTTCATAGTATGGACAGTATATCATTTCTTATCTGGTACCCCTCTCAAGCTTCTGATCCCCTTGCCTTTTATTTCTAAGCAGTCTCAAGTGCAGAGAATCACCCTGACTACAGTAACAGGATGAAGAAGAAAATTACATTACAGTCATCAGATATTATTGGGAGAATTAAATGAATGAATTCGAGGTATGTGGGACATGTAGCATATACATGGAAGAGATGAGAAATGCATACAAAATTTCAGTTAGAAAACATGAAGGTATTAAACCATTCAGAAGATGTAGGTGTACATGGGAGAATAACATTAACATGGATCTTAAAAAATAGGGTGTGAGGGTGGCTCATGGGATGGTAGTGGCAGCAGGGCCGTCCTTCGGGTGCCACAAGCAGGACTGCTGCCCTGGGCCCAAGCCTCAGGAGGCTTGCAATCAACATTATGATGTATGAAATATTCCATACAGAGCAATAACTTGACTTCCAAAGAAATAAAAATTTAAGAAAGCATACTGAAGTATATTAATTTCATCATAATCCCAGAAGAGATAAGAATACAGTCTTTAATAAATATACAGCTTGGTACCACTAATATTAAACTTAAAGGTTAATGGCTTTAAATACTTTTCTGATACAACCTTAAGAAGGGACCCACATCCATCTAGGAACAACTATGAGTGGCAGTCTCTTCTGAACACAATAATAAACATTCAGATATCATAAAAGGCAGATAACATCTTAACTAGCTGTAAAGCTATTAGCGCTTCAAGGAGGACTGTGCTCTATAGAATTAGCTAGTGTTTATCATAAGATACATATTTTTCACAACTAAAAATAAAATTACATTTACCAAGTTGGGCTAAGCTGAGTTCTTTCCAAGTCTCTCCATCTGGACATGCATCTGTAATACCTTGGCGAAAATATATCTTTCCTTTGTCTGTGAGGACCCACAAAGAACCAGGAGCAGCAGCCAGACAAACAACTGAAGAGTCATGAGGGAGAGGTAAACCCTGTCAAAATTTAAATGGGAAAATTAACACTCTCTTATACAAACTTATGGTTATACATGCAAAACATTATGTTATGTTCTAAAGCAGCTATATTCACAAGATACAAGTCAAGGATTCATTAAAGCATAATCTTCTAACATCTTGATACATTCAATGCCAAATAAACATTTGCTGTTAAAGACAGTGCATGTGACATTGCAACTATCTGCAATGGTACCTAATATCACCTTCTTCTCCAAGAGACAATGTCCAACAAGCACAAAACCTTAGGTGAGAGAACAAAGCTTAAGTAGTTGCATATCTGCCATGCTTTAAAATGAACTTGAGAGAGGTGTTTATTTTTCCAATCAAACCTATGCTTATTTGTATAGTCACAGTTCCTGAACACATAAATTTGAACTCACATTTCTACACCTGACTACAAACATGTAAACAAAATATACTTATCCATATCTTAGCAGTCTTCCTTATAGAATCTTTTAAAAATTCAAAATAATATTACATCTAAAAACTATTTATTTACCACTTGCTTATGATAAATGTGCTATTGATTTTCATAAGCTCCATTTAATTATGAGCATTATTCTTTTGTATATAAACATACTCCAAAGAAGTACCCTACACATAATTTCAAAATGTGTTCTTTTCAGTCTTAACTGGGCTTCAGATTGTAATCTACATAGTTGTGCAGTACAGTCTTGTTGGTACATCTAAATGCTTTGGAGAAACATGATGCCTCCATCTTTAAGAAAAATGTTTTTCTGAAATTTTGGAATATACCTATAAGACTACATGATGCGATAACCCAGAAGACTACAATCTGAACTTACACCACTGTGAAAACCTAAGACTTCACTGGCCTTGATATTCACTTCTTGCAGATATAAATTTATTGTTACAAAGCTAATCACACAGCATTGAAAATAAATTACTTTTTGTATTATGTTAAATATTCTTCAAACTGAAATGTCTCAAACAGAAACCAAAAAATTTAAAAAGCTTTTGTATGATGAGCTACTTTTGGAGAAAATTACTAAGTTCAAATTGAGGTTCTGTATAAAATGGATTATTACATCTGACATATATGAATAAAAATAAAATGCATCTAATAATTTTTATGTAAATACCTAATTGCATGAATATATATTTCACTGGATCTGAAAATGAAAGATGCAGACACAACCTCTCTTCTGTGCTCATTTTATGAACTTTATGCTAAGATGCATAAATGTTTGGCAAGCTATAAATATGTACTGTAGAAAATAATTAGGGATTTCATGAAGTCACATTAAACCACTCTGTTTAATGGCTACTATATGTAATCATCATGGAACTTCAAAGTTTTTACATTAACAAGTCAATGGAATCATCATGTTTCATCTGCTGCCAAACTACAATTTTTTACTATCCACCCTTCATGTCTAACTATGCATAATCTTGTTAATTACTTAGTATAGATGGTAAAATATGAGCTTTTACACACACTAGAATAATCACACATTGAATTCTCCTCAATCAAACTTCCTATTATGTTGCTATCAATAAACTGACCTACACACCATTTTGAGAGCAATGTTTGTGAGAGTGGACTTGGCAATGTTTACAACACATTAAAAAGTCAATAGTCTCCACATACTATTGGATTATGCAAGTCATCCCACCCCTATAAATTTCATTTCATGCAGCCCCATCACTGTCAAAGATAGTATGTCTATATTATCTGAATTGACTGTAGGCCTATTAAGCTTTTAAATACCTGCGGTCAGAATACTGGCCAATGTATGTGAAGTTTATAGATGTAT